GCTTGTGTGCATACATATCAATAGGTTTGCATATACTCATGCAAGTATAAGAAGTCGTTTGTGGATGTATTGAGAGATAAGGATAAGTCCGATATGCGAAGCTGAGCCTCGCCCGGGCTATGGGAGAGTCCGGCCTGTGCCGACTAATGTCGACTCGCTAACAGTGTGTCAGCAGGTGCTGACTCGGGTGAGCTTAGTCCTTACCCACCGTGGTGCCCGGCCACAGCAGTAACCTCCAGGCGACAATTGCAACTTCTCGCGCCTGGGCGGGGCGCGAACCGCCGACCCCTCGTATGAGAGGCCGACACGTTACCACTGTACTAGCCCGGAGGCTTATTGAGAGAGAGCGATAAAAGCAAGAGATAAAGAAGAAAAAAGATAGCTGGAATATATAATAATCCATAAGATTAATCCTCGCTTTTCTGATCAAAACCAAAGATCAGTACAAAGTTAACATCAACAACAAATAAATCCCTTCAGAATAACGCATGTTAATTCCCCGCACCCCGGCCCTCCCTCCGCTATGCTCACGCGCTCCCTCGGTAAGATGTCTCAGGCGACTGGAGTCACGCTCACGAGTTACCTCAGAAGTTACACAGTCCCGTTAAGGTCACTCTCGGGGAGTTATTCCTCAAAGTACCTAATGAGGGATCATACTTGAGATTTTTCTCCAGATCATTTTGTCTGTCCCTTCCATTCCCTCTCCGTCATTCATCTTCATCGACCTTTTTCACCCTTTCTGTTCCTTTCCTATTCGCTCGCCCAGTGCACCAGACAGGCAAAGATGAGAGTAACCCAAACTCTTGTTTGGTCGGCCACCCCGGCGGCAGCGATAGGCAGGACGTAGCTAAGCCTGCCGAAGGCCAGCGTGTGGGTGAATTCCCTGAGGGCCAGACTATGCAGAACGAATGAAGAGGACGGGACTCGGCCGCCGCTCCGTGGACAACTATACGCTGCCGAAGATGTACAGCCTCTCTCTCTCTCTCTCTCTCTCTCTCTCTCTCTCTCTCTCTCTCTCTCTCTCTCTCTCTCTCTCTCTCTCTCTCTCTCTCTCTCTCTCTCTCTCAAAAGAGATCAAATACCTCTACAGGGGAAATACGTGGACCCAAGTTATGGAACATGCTACCAGATAATATGAGACATTAACAGCTTCTGTCATTTTAAAACAAAATTAAAAGAACAACTCTTAAATACTCAAATGTAAATATATATATATTTATGTAAAGAATAACCATTGCAATTTAATGGAATAAAGTGTTTTGACTTTGACTCTCTCTCTCTCTCTCTCTCTCTCTCTCTCTCTCTCTCTCTCTCTCTCTCTCTCTCTCTCTCTCTCTCTCTCTCTCTCTGTGTGTATGTATGTTTATTTATCTATCTCTATCTCTTTCAGTGATCCACTGCTCCGTTGCCCCCCCCCCCTCGCCCTCCTTCCGACCCTCCCTTTCCCCATCCTCGGCCTCTCGTAACTCGCCAGATACCCCGGCGCCTCCTGCAGCTTCGCCGCTCGAGCAGCACAGGAAACAAATGATTTAATGCACTTCCGGTCCCCCGCGATGCAAAGCCCAACAACTTGCAACTGCTCTTTTACACGGCGTCTAATGTTAATGATTTTTAGCAGGGGGAGGGGGGAGGGATAAGGGAGCTAAGGTCGGGATGAGGGACGCCGGAGAGGGAGTCGAGGATGCCTTTTCCTTTCTTTCTCTTTCGTCCTCCGTCCTGCCTCCCTGACACCCCTCTCTCTCACGTCGTCAGTGTGTTTATATGCACCGTGTATATATGTATATATATATATAAATACATATAAATACATATACATATACATATATATATACATATACATATACATATATACACACACACACACTTACATATATCATATATATACATATGTATATGCGTATATATACATATGTTTATACATATATATGTATATACACATGTACACACACACACACACACACACACACACACACACACACACACACACACACACACACACACACACACACACACACACACACACACACACATATATGTATATACACACCTTAACAATTTTGTATAAACACTTTGATGCCTGGGACAGAGCCCGACAACATGAAACGTGGCGCCAAGTAGTTTGTCAAACATCGCATCGCCAATGGCACAGAAAAATAAGATATATATGTGTGTGTGTGCGTGTGTGTGAGTATGCTTGTATAAATATCCCTGGAAGATATCAGCCTTTCTATGTGTTCCTTTTTTCGCGCACACAGTTCACTTCCTCGTATTGTTACGGTGTCACTTTCTCCCCCCTTCTACGACGCCCGTTGACCGCCGATAAGTGCGTCCAAGAGCGGCTCATTCAACGGCGAGTATGGCATCAATGCTCCGTCCCGCCAGAGGCGCGCTCACCTTCGGGAGGAACCTGACACCAGATTACCGCCATCACTCAAAACCCGCCAGCGGCCAGACAGCCAGTTGGGCTTTACTTATGCAGCATCCTGTTTGGAGCTGTTGG